TAATTCATACTTTTTCCGCTTTTTGGCAAATATTTTAAAGTATCAACTTTTTATTAGGATGATTTTCTGTTGAGCAAAATATTCAAATCTATGACCGATACCAGCATGCCTTGCCGTATTGATTTAGCTCTTTTCAACATAACTCATGGTTAAAAATAAAAGCATTAGCCAGCCTGCTACTCTAAAATTTCACGGCTATCTGTTGACATAAAATGTGTGGTAAAATGCTTGATAATTAATTTTTGATTCGTATTTTCATACTTACGAAAATATAAAAGCATTAATAGTCTAACACGGCAATTCGTGGGCATAAAATGTCCGGTTCCGGCGGGTACGTGCAATGTCTTGCTAGCTAAATTCAGGCTTATGCTGTGCAGCCCAGCGCTAGCCCACTTGCTGGAGGTAAATGCGTTATTTTGTTTGTTTCGTTGTTTTCCGTAACGTATCACATGTAAAATCAATACTAATTGGTCCTGTTCTGACGTTTACGTGAATGTAACATTGAACAACGTCTTTTTGACGAAGGCGTTATCTACAAAAAAGCATGCTTGGGCGAATGGGAAAATCCTCAATGCTTGAAAACGGCAGGCTATCTTTCTTCCTTTTGCTGTAAATAAAATAAATCTAAATTCAAATTATTTCTATTATCAACCTCAATTCCTTTCTATTTTTCGAACTAAACCCGATATTTGGATAGAGAATACGCGCATGAACTCTCGGTAGCAATATGGTCAATGAAGACAGCCGGGATGGCTTCAAATGTAGGCCTATGTAGTAAAATCGGAAAATGTAAAGTCACAAAATCACAGCTAAGGGGTCGCTGTCTTTGGAGGCGTTCCGCTTTAAAGTCACAAAAATATGGTAACCCTAGCTAAATTCGGTGAATAGACAATAGACGATGATACAATGAAAAAAGTGTTTTTTAATTTCATGTGTGTTTGCTCATTTTCGTACATTACGTTCTGCCGCCTGCTCTCACTTCCTCCGACAGCCGTCCTCCCACTCTCCGCAGTCTTCGTTTAGTCTAGTCCAGGGGTGGGCAACCCCCATTGAGGTGTATATACACCTCAATGGCAACCTCTGGCAAGCGTGCCATACTTGACACGCAAGCTCATTTATTCGGCACGCGAGCGAGGCCTTGAAAACGAGATCATTTTCCTTCAGATAAAAAGTTTCAAGTCTCTGAGTTATCTGATGAAACTCGGTGTTCGTTTATTCATTATGGTTATTAACACTCCGTTATTTATTTAAACTCTTTTTGTCCTTTCATGATGACTGGCTACAAAGAAATATATTATGACAGAACAGATGAGTCAGTTTTGGAGAAGAGCGCTGCATTGATTTTGCTACATTCTTACATAATATAGTTCGTCTGTACCACCGTTTTTCTCTATTTCTGCTTGATTTATTAAGTTGTGAAACTCATGTTGGTTAGAGTTACATGCTAACTTACTGTTATGAATTGATTTCGAAAGAAATATAAGCGATTAGGAAAGGGAATGCAAAAGAAGAGTGCAAAAAACGAACTATTGCGTGACTGCTATACAATAATATGTCAGAGTTTTTTTCGGATCTTAGAACGAAATAGGTTATTTACAGGTAGTGTGCGTCCCCTACTTATGAAATTTTGTACCTACGAAGGTGCTTCCGGAACGAATTAATTTCGTAGGTAAAGTTTCTACTGTAGTTGCAAGCACAAAAAATTATTTCCTTTTTGTTATTGATCTTACGACACTGTTAGGGGTCCTTGCAGAAATGGCGCGTTAAAGCTCATAAATTAACAACTGCTATTCAAAATTATTTTCACACCGACTAAACGATTTGAGTGAAAAACACGTTTTTTATAACGTGTATTTTTCAACAGGATTTTGCTAGCTAGTTTTGCTAATATGACAGATGCACGCAGGCGCTACTATAGGCTTTGCGACGCAATGAGATTGGAATTGCTCTCATACACCAGATTAACAAAACTAAAAACTCTTTTCGCGGGCACACCATTCAAAATTGGCACTCCGCGGACCGCACAATTCTTATTTGAGGGCCGCAGTTTGCACACCCCTGCTATATCTGATTGATTTCTTATATAGTATATAATACAGTACGGGCCAGGAGCCTCGGTGACCTCGCCGGTCTTGCATACTGACCCTCAAAATAATGATCAACCAATTATTGTTAAATTAAAATATATTTTCTGTTGCTCCAAATGTATCATGATGTTGACATTGTTTGTAATTATAAATATAAATCTCTCTCGTCCGGTTATCATTCCATGTCGGGGTATGGAAATATTTAGGCAGTTATTTTTTTCCCCGATGCATGGACTTGATGGCGGAAGAAGCTGTAAGCGATTACCTGAACTACCCTACGGTGGCAAAAAGTTCAGCATAGGGTGGTTCACGTAACCGATGGTGGTTTGAAGCAGTGGTCGGCAACTATCTGGCCGCGACCCATCGCTGGTCCGCAGAGAGGTGACACAAAAACGGACAAGGCTAATTTAAAACCTCTACAATCTAACCACAAACCCTACGACTAAAAACAGCACCCGACAAACACGATGTATTTCAGCAGCATTTCTGACTTCACAAACAATTGGCATGTCAGTAGGTCGCAATAAAGCTGGGTCAATTGTTTCCACTGCGCTCGTATAAGAGTGTCTCTCAGCAGTCCGTATAAGATATCTACAACAAAATAATTATCGCTAAGAACGTGACTACTCCACTACTAGCTCGTAGCTAACCGGTCATGCCTAGTCAGTGCTAATTCTATACTTCAGAATCCGGATAATTATTAAGTTAGCACATCGGGTAAAAAAATTAGTTATGGCAAAACAAACATCAATCAATACAGAGTCAGGAGGGGTACAGACATTTTTCCTTTCCCAAAATCTTATTAATGTGAGGCCTGGTTTTCAAAAGGTTTTAAAATGTAGTTTAATCTGATACATGCGAGCAATTCCAATCCCTTTTGCGTCGCAAAGCCTAATATACCCGAGTCCAACTTATTATCTATACTTATGACGTTATAATGCCCTACAAGCTAGCTTCTGTTCAGCAAACATTGCGATTCACAAAGCTATCACTTGCCGAGCAGCGAGCGATTCAAGTAAACTGAAGAACGGATGCCAATAAATTAGTAAGAACGGGCAATTAACCTAACCTAACTTAACCTAAGAAAGCAGTTTGAAAAATTTTACCATTGAAAGATACAGAAGCTAAATGAGTTTTAGTTTCAGCATATCAGTCAATGTCCAAATCTAGTCCAGAATAAGATAGATTTGACAGCAAAGTATTTGAAAATGATAGTTATCATTTTAACTGAGAACACCTCAACACAGGTAAAAGCTCCGATGGTCCTCAAACCTTCGAACCTGCGACCTTCGGTGGTCCTGGTGAATGAGTTAGATACAGAAGCTAAATGAGTTTTAGTTTCAGCATATCAGTCAATGTCCAAATCTAGTCTAGAATAAGATAGATTTGACAGCAAAGTATTTGAAAATGATAGTTATCATTTTAACTGAAAACACCTCAACCAAGATAACTTTTTACGTTTTTAGAACTCAAAAATGGCACCTTTTGGCTCCACATATTTGTGCGAACAATTTTGTTCTAAAATGGGCATCATGAAAGGGTTCTGTCGATCGGTTTGAAAGACAAACACTTGGAAAATGGACTTCAAATTGCTAGCACTTCCATTAAGGCCAATTTGATAGTCGTGAAAAGTCAGCTGCAAATTTCTCACTGAAATCGTTCAAAGTCGGGGTGGTGTGACATTAAGTGTGAATAGCAATTTTCTTTCGAAATTTATTCGTTTTAAATCATCACTTATATAAGAGCTAAAACTACTAATATAGCCATAAGTTGAATGATAAAAAAATAAAAAAAGTTTTCCTGCATGGGTGCGGCGTGCGCTTTCACCCAGTTATTTGTATGTGGCCCTCCTGTATTAAAGGTTGCACGCCTCTGCTGTAACAGACCAACAGTGACTTGAACCACCCTATGGATAAGATATCTATTCTCAGGGGGGGACTGTGGTGGAAGCCGACGAGACGACTTAATCATACTGCCTTTAGTCTATTTACCAGTCCATGTTGGGATTAGTTGTCAGGTATTTGTTGAGCTGCATGGACTCTATGGTGGAGGAAGCCGTAACTGACCAGCGGTTACGTGAAACACCCCTACGGTGGCGAGAAGCCCAGCAATCCTTTCACGCATAATTTTATCATTGGGGAGCAGAATTGCACTCAAAAAAATGCAAGCGCGTATGAACATTAGAAGGCTATGCATGTATATTGTACTAATATAGTAACTTGACAGAGCAAAGCCGTAGTTGGTTTGGTAATTGCAGGTTTTCGTATAATTGAGCTCCGTTGCGAATCGGGGAGAAAGTGAACCTATTAAAAAATAAATTTTGTATAAACATGTAAGAAAGCTGTGTATTTTGAGCACAGAGTTGAGTGCTGGATAATTCCCAAAATTATATCGGGTTGAAGTCATAACGGAACAAACAAAGACAAAGAATTCTTGTAAAAACGAAAGAGCAGGGCCGGTGGGAACTGCGGGGTCTAATTAGAAATCTGATGGCAGACCCCCTACTCTTCATATTAAAATTTATGGGTCTTTATATATAAAAAAAATAAACATTTAATACTTGCTATAAAACAAATTTAAGGTAATGGGATGTTTTTATTGTTTTACTTTTAACATCAAGAAATGCAAAATAAGCGATTTCATTATACTCTTTCAGAAAAATACTTTTCTAGCCATTTTATTAGCAAATTCATTAAAATCGACAGCTTGAGCAATTTTGCTTTCTATAAGAAGCATTGACAAACTGTTGAGTATTTTAATTGCTAATGGCGACATAACGATAATTTACTAAATTTACCATGCATAACAAATTAATATTATGAGAAAGATTATCTCACTTTATATTTTACGTTTTCAGCAGTATTTTGTATCTCATAATGCAGATAAATAATACAGAAAAAAACTAGCGCAGAGTGCGGGGCCCAATTTGATAAAAGCGGCCAAATCGGCTTGAAACCAGCCTCGAGGAAGAGATGTTACATCTTTGTTCAAAAATGGTTCCATCTATTAAAGTATTTTTATTGGCATTGGAAAATTTATTGGGGAATATCATTTATGTCAAGCGTACAGCCAGCATTCGGTTGCTACTCCATGTTTTGCGCTCAATGGTATTTTATTATTTTTGCTTTGTTGCCTCTTCAGCAACAGTGTTTGGGTACACATTCATTTGCATTACGTCGAAAATTTAAAAATTATGTAAAGCTGCAATTGTTACGATACCCAATGAATTGTCTGTCGCAAGTCGGAAAAAACAAGTTGATTTATTGAAAATATAATTCATACTTTTTCCGCTTTTTGGCAAATATTTTAAAGTATCAACTTTTTATTAGGATGGTTTTCTGTTGAGCAAAATATTCAAATCTATGACCGATACCAGCATTAAAATGCCTTGCCGTATTGATTTAGCTCTGTTCAACATAACTCATGGTTAAAAATAAAAGCATTAGCCAGCCTACTACTCTAAAATTTCACGGCCATCTGTTGACATAAAAAGTGTGGTAAAATGCTTGATAATTAATTTTTGATTCGTATTTTCATACTCACGAAAATATAAAAGCATTAAAAGTCTAACACGGCAATCCGTGGGCATAAAATGTCTGGTCAAATAGCCAGGTTGTAGAGTTGCAGTTATTCCATTGTTTATTGTATGCAACTAGTTAATTATTCGGAATCCCTGACTGAAATATTTGATGAAATAAATGAAAATCAAAAGAAATTTTCATAAGACATAATGCGATACACGGACCATACTTGCTAAACATTATAGACAGGATTGAAAAAAATATTTAAAAACAAATTGCTCGAAAATTTTGAAACAAAACGGAAAGTGATTATCTCAGACAGACAAACTGAAGAAATGTGGAACTAATATAATTTTAAATCAAATTATCCAATAAAATCATCCTTGGATACGGCGTCTGTGACTAGCGAAGAAATTTAACCCCAGTATCAGCAACCAATGCTTTGAATCTCTCCAACCGATCATCGTTGAAGTAGCAATACCACATCAGCAATTTTTCAACCTGACATTGATGAACAATTTCACTGATTGTAGATAATCCTTCATCTCCGAGTTTCCTGACGTTGTTCCGACTCAGATGCAAGCTGTCGATCTGAAATGATACATGTTGTTATCATATAATATTTATGAATTGATATATTGGTCATGGTTGGAACGCATATGGGCTGGTTTGCTACTTTAGTATTTCCCTTGAATACTTCAGGTACTTTGACAGGCAGATTAGAAAACCTATCAAAAAATTTGTCCATCTGACATTGTGGAGCAGAAAGTGGAACAATAATACTAACTCTATATCTAACTCTAATTTTTTTCAATTTTATTAGAGAATCAATGCAGAGAGACAGGAAATATAAACGCAAAGATAAATAAGCTTATCTTGCATGTCAGATTAGAAGACTTGGCAAAAAAACGCTCATCTGACATTGTGGAATAGCTATCCAACATCACCAGAATCAACAAGGCGGAGTGTTATCAGAGAATAGTAAAATGGCAAAAATATAGACCGCAAATAAAATATAAATTTTTTCACATGGCCTCAAGTAATTTGTGAAACTGCAAAAAATATAATTGTATTATTTTCTCTTGCCTTCCAGCCTAAAAGTTGTTTATCTGATAAAAGCCTTTATACACTCATTATAACTCCGGAGAATATAAAGCAATTACTTATAGGTATAAGTTTATTTCGACTCCATTATCAGCATAAAAATAAAATGATTGGTACAAATAAATAAATAAAAACTGAATATAAAATCAGGAGAGCAAACAAAACCTTAGATAAGGTTTAAAGCGTACAGTATATAAGATAGGAGGTTTTGCCAGTGCTCACTCACCTAAAATAACTGAAATATTCCACACGCTCACACAAGTAATTACTCAGTTCAATGATTTGCTAATTGTGCCAAGCGCTACAAACCAGGGTTGAAGCTTTAATGTCTTGTTGGAGCTAGAGGCAAGCCTATCATCTTAGCTGGAGCCGCAGCTTCGAAAAATTTTAGTGACTCCAGCCCTCAACAAATTAATTTCTTTTTCCAATTTATAATTTTCATACAAACTTTATACAAATGATAAAATTCATCTTTTTTCAGTTTTTAATTTTTTTTCAATAGTTAATTATTAATATTAATTTATAATTTTAATTTTGAAAAATTATATAATTAAAATTTTCATTTCATTTTGAATTATTCAATTCATTAAGCATTGGTCTTAAATATATGGATGTTCCCCCCACCATTGACTCTGCTTATACTTTATATAATTTCAAAATTTTTGATGCATAATTGGGATTGTTTTGGAGAGATGGCGCTCAACTGGTTTACATAACGCATGCCATAATTTTTCTTTGAAATATTTAACCATGTGCCGCTCACAGGTACTGGTAGATAATTTAAGCCTATCGCAGGTTTTTCAGGAATAATTTTTGATTATTGCAACTGAACTGAAACTTGTCGGAATTTATATTAACATTGAAGGTATTTGATTATCAACAAATTCAAACACAACTGATAACTGGATAACACGAGAATGAGGCAATGTTCACAACCATGCTGATTATCTGTCTGAGCGAAAGAATTGTCTGAGTGGCTACACAAATTGCAATTGTTACGATAATGTTGACTTATTAGTGATTGGTCATTGTTACAAGATAAACAAAGAAATCGAAGCTCAGGAAAATATCAATTGCATAACAGTTTGAAACTCTCAGATTCCCATCTCATACCCACCACCTCAGGGTGTGATAAAATGCGTAAGAAATGCTGAAACCTGGGATATTTCGGTCTGTAAACTCATCAGAAGTTGCTTGCACAGAGCTTCGCTGCGCATAATACAGCAATGTCCAAAACATTTCTAAATTATAGCAAACATATGGTCAGGTTCAGGTATATAAACCAGTTTTACCTTTGCATTACGGGTGTTTTTCTTGAATGCTTTCATTCCTTCGCTGTCAGATTGCACGCATTCGCCTGAATTCTTCACCTGACATTTGAAACAACTAATCCAACTTCACCAAACCAGAAGTGCCAAGATTCTCGTTTAAACTGATATCTAGTATATCCAACTGAAATAAATAAGATCAGTGAACTAATGTAGATGAACTCGGTCACAAAATGTGATCTGACAAGAATAAAAGTGTGAGAAATAAAGAAAGCAAACCATAAAGACTGATTGATCAGATAGACAAATTTTTCATCAAAAATTCAATAGTCTGCTGTTTTGATGAAAATTCAACCCAAACAAAATCTGATAGCTGATTAAAATATACAGGGCATATACACTGCATGGAGAAAAAGTTTCTTGATAATTGAGTGTTTTCAATTACCAGAAGCCAAATTTTAATTCTATTGAAAAATATTTGCTCACAAAAGAGGAAAGATGGTGTATTTGACTTTTCAAGTGGAATGTTGTTTAGGTTGACTTATATATACAGATATTATTGCACTGCCTTCAACACAGAAAACCTTTGCATCAAAAAAAAATCAACAGTCACTCAGATATAATAGCAAGACTGTGATTGCATGGATAGAACCTAGAACAGTGATTCCCATCTTTTACCCCTGCGAACCGACAATACGCAACAATATGGCTCATGCACCAGCAGTGAAATTATGAAACAGGTGTGTTGTTTTGATCAAAATATTTTGTAGTGAATGTTCGATTAAACACTAACAAATATGATTAGTTTCCAAAGTGTTAATCTCGGCAAGCAGGTATTAAAGACGAATCAAACTTGAGTGAAACTTGTTTTCATGGTTGGTTTTGCGATCATTCAATAATAAATTTGGAATAGAAAATATGGGCAAATGAAATATTACGACCAGAGATATGAGTTTAAGTACTTTTTTTTGGAACAACAGAAAACTGACAAATAACACGCAAACCCATGAAAATGAGGCAACATTCACAACCATGCTGAATATATGTCTGGGCGGAAGAAGCATCTTGAGCGGCTGCACAAATGCAATTGTTACGTTATTGTTGACTTATTAGTGATTGGTCGTTGTTACGGAAATAAACAAGGAAATAGAAGCTTCAGATCCCACTCCCATGCCCACCACTACAGAGTGAGATAAATTGAATGGGCAATGCTGAAACCTGAAATATTTCGGTTTGTCAAACTCATTAAAGGCTGCGTTCACAGAGCTTCGTTCTGAGCGTAAAGCGTGTAATAATGTCGCATAATACAGCAACGTCCAAAACATTTGGGTGTCGCTGCTCGATAACCAGTTTGGTTCCCTGCGACTTCCCTTCCCCTGTAAAACTGTGTAAATTTTTTTTTTGTCATAATTTATGATTGTGATATTTTTTACTGATTGGAAAAAATAAACTTGACTCGACATTTCTAAATTATGGCATATTAGGGATGGACAATATAGAATAATTTACTATTCTAGAATAGTTAAATCGAATCCAGAATACCGAATCCTATTCTATTTTTAAATTTATTCATCTGACATTGTAGAATAGCTATCCAACTTAACCAAAATCAGCAGTGCGAAGTGTTATCAGAGAATAGAAGAAAAATGGCAAAAATATGCCGCTAAGAAAATAAAAACATTTTCACGCCGCCTCAAGTAATTTGTGAAACTGCAAAGAATATTTGTATTGTTTTCTCTTGCCTGTTTCTCTAATAAAAGCCTTTATACACTCACTATTACCCCAACTAATACAAATCAATTACTAAGATATCACTCAGTTCAACGATTCGCTAATTGTGCTCAGCACTGCGAAAAAGGGTCGAAGCTGTGATGTCTTGTTGGAGCTGGAGCCAAGCCTAACATTTTAGCTGGAAACAGAGCTTCCAGGAAATTCAGTGACTCAAGCTCAGGACCAATTATTTATTTTTCACATTCATAATTTTCCTAAAAACTTTATACCAATGATAAAATCCATTATTTTTCAGTTTTATTTTATTTTTCACACAGTTAATTTCTGATATTATGTTACAATTTCAACGTTGAAATTGTATAATTAAAATTTCCATTTAATATTCATTTAATTTAGAAAATTATTTTAATAAGCGTTGGTCATAACTATAGATATAGATGTTTCTGAAAAATTGTTCCCATACTTTAGTATTGCAAAATTTGTGATGCATAATTGGGGATTGTTTTGGAGATATGGCGCTTACAAACTGGTTTAGAGAAAATCTGCGATAGACTGGGATTAAATTAGCTGACAACCTGTTAGCGGCATGGATGGCTCTAAATAGGTTGTTAGCTAATTTATGCCTATTCTATCGTAGATTTTCTGGGAATAATTTTTAATGCATTAAATTGGAGCGCGTAGGAAGTTATAATGACATTTAAGATATTCAATAAACAACTTATTTATGAAAAAATTGTTACGTTATTGTTGACCTTTTAGTGATTGGTGACTGTTCCTGAAATAAACAAGAAAATTGAAGCTCGGGAAAAATATCCATTACATCACAGATTAAAATTTTCAGATTCAATTCCTATGCCCTCCACCTCATGGTTTGTTAAATAGTGTGGGCAATGCTGAACCTGAAATATTTCAGTTTGTTAAACTCATCAATGGCTGCTTGTACAGAGTTTTGTTACGAGTGTAAAGCATGTGATAATGTCGTATAATACAGCAATCTCCAAAACATTTGGGTGTCGCTGCTCGATAACCAGTTTGGTTCGTCGCGACTTCTCTTCCCCAGTAAGTGAATTATTTTTTTGTCGTAATTTATGATTGTGATATTTTTACTGGTTGAAAAAATAAACTTGACTTGACATTTCTAAATGATGGCAAATATAGGTTCAGGTATGTGAACTGGTTTTTTTCTATTTATTTGATGGGAATGTAACCCAAACAAAATCTGATAGCTGATTAAAATTTTCCTAGTTAATTAGGACATTTATACTACATGAGGAAAAGTCTTTTTGGAATACCAGAGACCAATTTTGTAAAATTCTATTAAAAAAATATTCCCATACAAAATAGAAAAAAACAGTATTTGACTTTTTGAAGGGTCACTTTATTCAAGTTGACTTATACACTTGTTATTGCAGTGGGCGATAGCAATGCATTGTCTCCAATACAGGAAACCTCCACATCGAACATAAATGAACAGTCACTCAGATATATAAGCAAGACTGTCACTGCATGGATAGAGCCTGGAACAATGGTTACCAATCATTACAATCACTACATTTATCAAAAATTCAACTGTCTGTTGTTTTGATGGAAATGTAACCCAATCAAAATCTGATAGCTGATTTAAATTTTCTTCGTTAATTAGGACATATATACTACATGAAGATAAAGTTTCTTATTAATTAGGCTCTTTGCAATCACAAGCGACGAATTCTATTTCAAATGATATTGGCGTACATGTAGAGAGAGAAAAGGGGTATTTCACGTTTCAAGAGGCATTTTGTTTAGGTTACCCCTGCTAACCGACAATACGCATCAATATGGCTCATGCACCAGCAGTTTATTATGAAACAGGCGTGTTGTTTTGATTAAAATATTTTGTAGTGAATGTCCGATTAAACACTAACAAATATGATTAGTTGCTGAAGTGTTAATCTCGGCAAGCGGTTAATTAAAGACGATGTAACAAACTTGAGTGAAATTTGTTTTCATGGTTGGTTTTGCGATCATTCAATAATAAATTTGGAATAGAAAATATGGGCAAATGAAATAGTACGACCAGAGATATGAGTTTAAGTACTGTTTTTGGAACTACAGAAAACTGACAAATAACACGCAAACCCATGAAAATGAGGCAACATTCACAACCATGCTGAATATATGTCTGCGCGGAAGAAGCATCTTGAGCGAATGCACAAATTGCAATTGTTACGTTATTGTTGACTTATTAGTGATTGGTCATTGTTACGGTAATAAACAAAGTACCGAAGCTCAGGAAAAATATCCATTGAATCACAGAATAAAATTTTCAAATTTCACTCCCATGCCCACCACCACAGGGTTTGATAAATTGTGTGGGCAATGCTGAACTCAAGATATTTAGATCTGCCAAACTCGTCGATGGCTGCTTACACTGAGCTTTGTTCCATGTGAAAAGCATGTGATAATGTCGCATAATTCAGCAAAAAATCAAAATTATAGCAGATATATGGTCAGGTATATAAACTGATCTTTACCCTGGCATTACGAGAGTTTTCCTTGAATGCTCTTATTTCTTTTGCTGTCAGATTGCAACCTTGAGCATTGAATTCCTTCACCTCACAATTTGAAACAACCAATCCAATTTCACCAAAACAAGCAGTGCCAAGATCCTTGTTGTAACTGATATCTAGTATTTCCAACTGAAATAAATAAGATCAGTGAACTAATAATGTAGATGAACTCACAAAATGCCAAGATCCTTGTTCGAACTGACAATCAGTGTATCTATCCAACTTAAGTCCTGTTTTAGGCTCCCAATCGATCCCAATTTTGTATACCCATTTTTATTCATGTCATACGACCCCCAAAACTTACCCAATATACAATATTTATATATCATTAGAAAGGTTTTTTAGAGTACTATACGCTAAATGTCACTGGAGGACCGTAAACTAAAACCCCTGTTTCAAGAGGTCTTTCGTAACGTCAAAAAATAACAAAAATATTTACACTCTCTCATTCTATCAGCTGTTGGACGTGTATAGCTATTGTAAAGCTCAAATGTGACTATACAGTTGACTGCACATTGGTTTTCTCTTTGATATGATACTAAACGCTTTGCGATATTTCCGTTTGAGAAGTCACCACATCGAATCAGGCCAGGCTAAGCTAGATAGATCGATCGGTTGCTTGTTTGTGCTTTATTGCGTTGAAAGCTTTTGTGAGTCATAATAAAACATTTAATATGAATCATAAAAGCTTATAATCGTGAGACAAGGAGAATTTGCGAGATAAAACGCTTATGTGAACTAACTTTTTTTCGGTGAGGCAGCTGCGATCAAACGACTCGATATTTTTGTAAAAAAAGGAAATTGGCGAA